TTGCCAGTTTTAGAAAAGTATAAAAGGGAGGTTGAGCCTCCATATTTTTCTTCTTCTGGCTTTGCTAAAAGTTGTGCGATTTAAAAGAGGAAAGTTGACCGGATTATTCTTGGCTAAAGATCCAAGTGTTTGGTTTCAAAAGCTTGATAAGGTGAGTAGTTTATAAAACTCTTTTGCATAAAGATTATTACTGGTTTCATATGAATTTTTGTTTGAATTTGGATAGAAATCAGTCTTTTTGCTCTAAGTGTTTATCCGGATATTAAACCGGACAAGGTTTGACCGGATTGTTTTAAATCGGACAAAGGGTGGAAGATTTCTTGTCCGGATTATTTTCAACCGGCTTAGTATTAAGCGGGGTATTGATCGGACTTGTTATTCAGACAAAGATATTGATTTTGATTCTAAAGTGTTAAATCGATCAAGTTCTATGCGGTGTGTTGTTCGGACTTGATATCCGGACAAAGTTGGAATTTATTTTAAGTATTAAATTGGACAAAGACTTAGGCTGTGTTGTCCGGATAGTTAACCGGATTTGAAGTCCGGCTAAGTCAAGATTGACCGGCTTTGATGTAATGTCGTGTTTTTGATGAAAAATGTTATTTTATCATAAAAAGGAAGTTTTGAAAGAAATGATTTTGTATTGATAATAATTTCAATGGCTGCGGTCTATTTGGAATTGTTTTATGAAAAGTTTTGATGAGGAAATAAGGGTGGAATATCAAGGAGAGGTGTACCATGGGATAAGGGTGGCATGTCAAGGAGAGGTGTACCATGGGATAAGGGTGACATATCAAGGAGAGGTGTACCTTTGGATATAAGGGTGGCATTTGCATGTGTGTTGTATGATATAACTCATTCTATTATATCCTTTAAGATTACTGTGGTCCGGAGTCTTTATTTCTTTGTGACTTAAAGATTTAGGATCAAGGTTCTTATTGGAAATTATAGTTTGGATGTTATTGAGGAGAAAATGTCAGGTTTGGCCTAAAGCTTTAAATAACCTTGTTTGGTTAAGAAAAGGTTTAAAAGTGGCATTATGTGGAACCTGATTGGTTCATAGTTTTGGGAATTGAATAAGCAGAACGCTTTGCTTGATAATGGAAAAGATCCGGTATTACGTTTCTATTTATTCATATATTTGTTATGTATATGAAATGATATTTTTCCTTAAAGGTTTTAGTGATTTTCACCCTGCAATAACATAAATAGGGTATCTCACTAGACCTTTCGGTCTAACCGTCGTTTTGTGATTTAAATTATGTATTGTAGGAGGTTCAGACAGTAAGGGGAAGGGGAAAGTGTAATATTTTCCTTTATGTATTTCTGCATGAAGATCTGTTTTTGCTGTACAGTTTTGGTTGATTAGTACAAGTGATGTATTAGAAATTTTGGACCTTGTAATTGGTCATGTTAGATTCTTAAAGTAAGGGACCCGAATGGAATGATATTATGTATTTCCTTTGTATGAAATATGTATTACATGCAATGTGTGGGTTGAGGTGTTACAGATTTCCCCAAGTTTATTCCTTTATATCTGCCATAAACAAACACCCAAACTTGCTATTAATCCTAACTAATAACTTGATGGCATAATGAAACTAAATCACTTTAACGACTAATAATGTAACTAAACTCAACTAAATCCTATCATTATATATATATATATATATATCCATACTATGCAAACCACATAAGATCAAATTCGAGAGAAAAACGAGAAGAATTTTTGGGTTTTAAAGACGATTTTGACAAACCCCTAGTTGCTGCCATTATTATTGACCGAATCGGTGACTTTCGAGTCACCGGAACAACTCAAATCTTACTTAAACAATCCGAAAATTTATAACCCAACTACTAAATGTATAGATTCGAGACTGGGACAAAACTTACCTCGAACCGACAAGAAATCGATGGAACCTTGCTTGTTTTTGGCCGTCGGCTCCCTCCTAGGTTTTCAATGGATTCTTCCAAGCTCTTAGGGTTTCTCTCTAGTGGCTATCACAATTAGAGGTATTAGGGTTAGGGAGGAGGAATTAGGTTAAATAAGGATTGGGGTTAAGTTAAATAAGGATTAGGGTTAGGTTAAATAAGAAAAACCTTAATCTACATAAACCCTAATCTAAATACAAAAGCTCAGCCCAAGCTCATCATCCAAATTGCAAAGTTAAAGCGGGTTATGCAAAACTAATCCCTCAAGATTAGTCAACTTCCTAAACTAACCCAAACTTCAATATAAATATATATATATATATATTATTTTTTTTAAACATGCACTTATATATATATATATATATATATATACACACACACAAAAATATCTGACGGGTATTATAATTCTTCCCCGTAAAAGAAAAGATTTTGTCCTCGAAATCAATCTAGGTCCTAAAATACACAGAGATGGCACTTACAAATTTTTGAAGAGATGCGGATATTTTGATCGTAGAGATTCTTCCATCTCCCAAGTGGCCTCACATTCCGGGTGATTTTTCCACAACACTTTTACAAACGGTATGGACTTCTTCCTCATGAGCCGTTCCTACTTGTCTAATATAGCTTCGGGTTCTTCTTCACACGAAAGATYCTCATGGATTTTATCTGATGGATATTGCACTACATGCAATGGGTGATAATTGTAGCCTCGAAGCGTCGAAACATGAAACACATTATGCACATGAGATAGCTACGGTGGAAGAGCTAACCGATAAGCTACTTCGCTGACCCTTTCTAAAACCTCGAAAGGACCGATGTACCTTGTACTTAGTTTCCCTTTTAAGCCATACCGTCGTATACCTCAAAAAGGAGGAACCTTAAGGAACACGTGATCCCCTATTTGGAATTCTAAAGCTTTCTGATGACGATCTGCATAACTTTTTTGACGTGATTGAGCTTCTTTCATTTTTTTCTTGGCTACTGCCACCTTTTCATTAGTGACTCTTACAAGTTATGGCCTTTCAATAACAGCCTCACCAACCTCATTCCAACATACCGGTGCCCGACATCTTCGGCTATACAGAGCCTCGAACGGGGACATACCAATGCTTGCTTGCCAATTATTATTATCTGCAAATTCTACTAAACATAAGTACTCATCCCAACTTCCGGACCATTCCAAAGAAAATGACCTTAACATATCCTCTAAAGTTTGGATCGTTCGCTCGGATTGTCCATCTATTTGAGGGTGAAAGGTCGTACTGAACTTGAGTCTCGTTCCCCATGCATTCTGAAAACCTTTCCAAAATCGTGAAGTGAATCGAGGATCTCTGTCAGATACTATAGATACTGGTGTGCCATGAAGCCTGATTAATTCTCGTTGAAAGAGTTCTGATAACTTACTGACTGAATACCCTTCTTGAATAGGAAGAAAGTAAGCCGACTTAGTCAATCGATCGACCACAACCCAAATGGCATTATTCTTCTTAAGCGTCTTCGGTAACCCAGTTACAAAGTCCTATGAGATATCCTCCCACTTCCACACTGGAATTTCTAATGGTTGCAGAAATCCACTCGCTCTTTGGTGTTTGATTTTTACCTTCTGGCATGTAAGTCATCTTGCTACAAAGTTAGCTATGTCTCGCTTCATTCCATTCCACCAAAAGTTTTGCTTCAGATCTCTATACATCTTTGTGGATCCAGGATGAATAGAGAATGGCGAGTTGTGTGATTCCTTCAATAGCGCCTCGCGAATTTYYGGGTCATTGGGAACACACAGTCTATTTCCAAACCATATCACATAGTCTGCATCAACCCGAAAATCGGCTTGCTTACTATCATCTCTCTTCTGAAATATGGCTCATAGCTCACCGTCTTGTTTTTGCGTCTTGCTTTTGGGCTTCTTTGACTCGTGAAATTAAAGTGGGCTCCACTGTAAAACTTGCTAGCCACCCATCTGAATGATTATCATAAACCTCAACATCCATGCGTTCCAAATCCAAGACGATATGAGATTGAGTAGTAAGGCATGACAAGTTCCCCGAACTTTTTCGACTAAGGGCATCTGCCACTAGATTGGCTTTTCCTGGATGGTATTGGATTCTTGCGTTATAATCTTTGAGAAGCTCTAGCCAACGTCTTTGCCTCATATTAAGTTCTTTCTGGGTGAATATGTATTTGAGACTCTTGTGATCCGTGAAAATATCACAAGTTTCTCCGTAAAGATAATGCCTCCAGATTTATAAAGCAAAGATCATTGCTGCCAACTCTAGATCATGAGTGGGGTAGTTTACTTCATATGGCTTGAGTTTCCTAGAGGAATAAGCAACAACCTCAACTTTTTCCGGATCCACAGTAATACCATCAGCTGACACTACGTGACCCAGAAATGCGACCCGCTCGAGCCAGAATTCGCACTTAAAGAATTTGGAATACAATTGCTTATCTCGCAGAGTTCCCAAGACAACACGTAGATGACCTTCATGTTCCTATGACTTAGAGAATACAAGTATGTCATCAATAAATACGATAACGAACTTGTCTAGGTAGGCACTAAATACTCGGTTCATTAGGTCTATAAAAGCGGCTGGGGCATTAGTTAAACCAAAAGTCATCACCAAAAATTCATAATGCCCGTATCAAGTGCGGAATGCAGTTTTTGAAACATCCTGATCTTTTACCCTCAATTGATGGTAGCCTGGCCTTAGATCTATCTTCAAGAAGTACTTAGCTCCTTGAAGTTGATCGAACAAGTCATCAATACGCGGCAAAGGGTATTTGTTTCTAATGGTGACCCAGTTCAATTCTCTGTAATTGATACATAGCTTCATTGAGCCATCTTTCTTTTTCACGAATAATACTGGAGCACCCCAAGGAGAGACACTTGGTCTGATAAACCCACGCTCTAGGAGGTCTTGCAGTTGCTCCTTAAGTTCCTGTAATTCTAAAGGTGCCATTCTATAAGGTGCCTTAGAGATGGGCTCTGCACTAGGAACCAAATCTATAGTGAACTCCGCCTCTCGGACCGGTGGTACTCCTGGAAGTTCGTCCGGAAATACATCAAGAAATTATCTGACCACTGGTTGACTTTCAAGGGAATGCTCTTCCACCGATGTGTCTTTAACCAACGCTAGAAATCCCTGACATCCATGGAAAACTAACTTTTGAGCTTTTAAGGCAGATATGATCTTTACTTCTCTTTTTGGTTGAAACCCTTGATATACGAAATCAGGCCTCTCTTTGTCGCCGAAGATTACTTGCTTAGCTAGGCACTCAATTGTTTCTCTATGCTTTGACAACCAGTCCATACCCAAAATAACATCAAAATCGTTCATGCTAATAGGGAGTAAATCGACCTCACGAATTTGACCCCCTACTTTTAAAGGACACCCTTTAAATTCTCGAGATATAACTACCGAATTACCTAAAGGAGTAGCAATAACTAAAGGTGATTCTAACGATGTACAAGGCACTCTAAGATGATTAGCAAAAATCAAAGAAACCATAGAATGGGTTGCCCCCGTATCAATTAAAGCATAAACATCATGTGTGCCAATCGAAAGAATTCTTGAAATCATAACTGAATTTGCTGCCTGGTTAGCTGATAAGGCAAACACCCTACCTCCACTAGTTGCCTTAGCGTCATTTCCTTTGTCGGTGCTACAAGATTTCTTGCAATCTCTCGCCAAATGTCCCACCTGATCGCACAAAAAGCAAGCTCCGGAAGCCTTATAACACACGTTTCCAGGATGGCGCCTTCCACACAAATTGCATTGAAGAACTGAATCGTGATTACCTTGTCGCCTGACCTTTGAAAACAAGTCTGATTATGCCCATGTCCCTGTTGACCTTGCTAACGGTACGGTTGCCTCTGACCCTGATTTTGACCTTGCCACTGCCCCTGACGCTTGCCACTATTATGTCCCCACTGATTCCCACTGTTACCACCTTGCTGTTGATTTTGTTGCCCCATCTGCTGAATTTGTTGCCCATCTCGACTTCTATTCTTTCCCCCATCTGGTTTGGATGCCAAAAAGTCTTGCCGCTCCATCTCAATATTCTTGACAGCATCTGCCGCCTGTGCCACATTCGTAAATTTGTCATTGATAAGTTTGGAATGGTACCGATAATGAATTGTCCACTTAAACTTTTCAGCCTACTCTAGAGATGTCCCGGCTGACGACCCTGCAAAACCAGCGAGCCTCAAGAACCTTGCCAAATACTCTGTTACAGACTCATCATCTCGTTGGCGAATTGTGGCATACTCTCTCACAAATGTGTTCTTATCCGCAGCTGAGAAATACTGCTGATAGAACACCTCACGGGACCCCATCCATGAAAGGGCATCAACGTATTCATTTCCTTTAGCTTGCTTGATCGCGTCCCACCATCTTTGAGCATCTCCTTCCAATTTGTATACCGCCAACTTAACCCTATACGGTTCCGAACACCCCAAAACCTCAAAAATCTTCTGTATGTGTGAGACCCAATTTTCTGCATCCACGGGAGTCGGTGCCGAAATGAAGGATTGAGGCTTCTGTTTATGAAATCTTTCAAGCCACACATGGATGGCCCCATCTGGTGTTGCCCCACTAGTATCTCTGGTTTGGTTTGGTTTGGGTTACTACCCCCTAATGTCTCTAAGACTGGTGGGGGTCCTCCGGTAGAGTTCTGCTGAGCTGCCTCGACTACTTGGGCCACGATGCTGGGCAGTAAATTAGAGACTGCCTGATTCACAGCTGCCAAAATATATGGGTCCATTTCATCCTCATTAGCATCTGAATGAGAAGGCTCAGGGCCTCCGACTGAAATTCGGTTACGCCTACTAGCCACACGTTGAGATCGACGAGCCATCCTAAATTGAAAGGACAAAAAAATATTACACATAGGGAACAAAGAATAATAACAAAGCTAAATTAAATAAGTTCTAAACCCCAATTCTACACACACTCATAGGTCAAACCTATTTGGCTTTCTACAAGATTGAACCTGGCTCTGATACCATAATTGTAACACCCCCCCACTCCCAAAGGGAAGGGAGGTTGCTTCAAACGTAACGAAGCAGCTATATAAAACCTCCAAAATATAGTCTCCAATACAAAGAAATAAAATAAAATTTTCCAATAATGAAATTGAATATAACTCCAAATAAAATATAAAGGTCTCCAAATAAACCACTTCCAAAATCCTCCAACAACCCAGGGAAAATCCAAAAGCAACCCTTAAAGAAATCTAATCTAATAGCCAAAAGGAAAAAAATCCAATAAATGAATTAACATAGCACTAAACCTCTCGAAACCTTGAAACCAAGATACTGGTCTACTTTCTGTCACAAGACTTAGCAGCCCCCTTGATTACCTGCCATGAGGAATAGAAGAAAACACGGCTGAGCCAAATGTCCAGTGAACGGACAAACGATTACAGTAAAATGGTAATACAAACGTGCCAAAAATAATCTCAAGACATCGAACCAAAAGAGTACCAAAATCTTAGAAAAATCAACAAATARCATAATCATACTAAATCATATGAAGGGACAAATCGAGCTCGAAAACGCATACACTTGCATATTAACTAACATGACAAGTGTCAGACATATGGCCACACAGGCCTGTACGTTGGACTGCATATCCACACGTACCAAATGTGAGATGTGGCGTTGGACACTACACCGACATCCACCCTACAAACAAATCACATGTGCTAGGGTCGACCCATACGCCTCCTAAATCCAATATCCATCACACCAAAATAGCTCTCAAAAGAGCACAAAAGAGGAGACGCCGCGGACTGATCACACTGCCACGGTTAGTGTCACGCCATCGGTGCCACAATGACGTGCCTATGGTACCCCCATAGGTGGTTAGTAGCTCGAGTTACCAAAGTTGAGTTGTCACAACGAATGTAACATTATACGTCTTACATATGGTCGATAAATAACGAAGTCAAACGAAAAGTCGAACATAAGTCAAGTAAGGAATTATGTTGAATAAACAAATAGTCGTAATATAAAGAGGCTCAATTCGAAGAATACATAATCGATCTAAAGTACCAACATATGTACTTTTAGACGTAAAAATCATACCAAAATGTTACCGAACAAATAAACGTATTATTTTGGAGAAAACACATACTTGTACCAACATTGACCCACTTAAATAACATGAATTAAAAGTGGTTTTGTTACGATATGTACAACATAGAACAATTGCAACTGAATGAAAATGCGGTACAAAAAGGATATCAATAATCGTGAGTCAATTAATCCGAGTTGAAAGAAAGCTTAAGGGCTCGTAAACAAATGTAAACGAATCAAATGAATGAATAGAATTAAGAATATGTACCTTAAACTTCACAAAACTTATCGATTTCCCCAAGTTTATTCCTTTATATCTGCCCTAAACAAACACCCAAACTTGCTATTAATCCTAACTAATAACTTGATGGCATAATGAAATTAAATCAGTTTAACGACTAATAATGTAACTAAACTCAACTAAATCCTATCATTATATATATATATATATATCCATACTATGCAAACCACATAAGATCAAATTCGAGAGAAAAACGAAAAGAATTTTTGGGTTTTAAAGACGATTTTGACAAACCCTAATTGCTGCCATTATTATTGACCGAATCGGTGACTTTCGAGTCACCGGAATAACTCAAATCTTACTTAAACAATCCCAAAATTTATAACCCAACTACTAAATGTATAGATTCGAGACTGGGACAAAAACTTACCTCGAACCGATAAGAAATAGATGGAACCTTGCTTGCTTTTGGCTGTCGGCTCCCTCCTAGGTTATCAATGGATTCTTTTAAGCTCTTAGGGTTTCTCTCTAGCGGCTATCACAATTAGAGGTATTAGGGTTAAAGAGGAGGAATTAGGTTAAATAAGGATTAGGGTTAGGTTAAATAAGAAAAAAGAAAACCCTAATCTACGTAAACCCTAATCTAAATACAAAAGCCCAAGCCCAAGCTCATCATCCAAATTGCAAAGTTAAAGGCGGGTTATGCAGAACTAACCCCTCAAGATTGGTCAACTTCCTAAACTAACCCAAACTTCAATATAAATATATATATATATATACACACACACACATATCTAACTGGTATTATAACCTTTCCAATTTCACATTGGTTTCGGTCCTAATTTTACATTACACTCCAAGCTAAGGCAATGAGCCTGTCATTGCTTGGTTTCTTGGTCCAAAGAATGAAAATAGTAAAAAGTAAATAATGGAGATGGAAAAATACATTAAGTAAAATGCAAGTTTCAAAGCATTTAACACTCCTAATAAAACAATATATATTTTTTAATATAAAATAAAACAAAATAATAAAATA